CAATAAAAAAAAAAAAAGATAAAAAAAAAAAAAGAAATGGGATGAGAGATCTATAATGAACTGCATCATCGACTACTCATCTTTATAGCCTTGGTCTGTCAGCTCCTAAGCCAATTGTTGTCTTATGGATGGTAGTAAAAGAAAAAAAATATGTATCATGTTTACCTCTACCCTTTCATATATGGGTGCAAGTTTGTCTTTTGGTCTTTTTACATTGTGTTTCTCTCCTGACAAATAAAACAGTGTTGTTTGTTTGCTTTTTGCTTTTTCCTCAACCTTATCTCCTGATCTTACTCTTACTATTTTCTTTTTTTTTTTTTTCTTTCTCAGACAACTCAGCAGGAGAGCAGACTGTATACAAATAGTCTGAACTAAAAGCTTCCTTTCCTACTGACCAAATAGTTGCCAAAAAAGAAGCCTTTCTCAAGGCTGTAACTGAGTGTTCTGGTTGATGGGTGCTCTGGAATGTCAATGGAAATGTTTGTTTTAGAAGGTTTATTTTTATACTAGAAATTCAGGGTGCAGCAAGACACACATTTGTGACAGTTGGAAAAAAATAAGACCATAAATCGGACTTAGTGGAAATGATTAGATCCATGAAAGACTGAGATAACTGACTTGCTGATAAAAAGAAAAGAGCGAAAACATAGTAGCATGCGTTTCACTGGGCCTCTTTCCCTTGGCTTTGGCTTGTATAGATGAGGTGGGGGCTGAGAGTGTGCCAGAGCACTCCCCGCAGCACTGACAGCCGCCCCCTTTGCGACCATGTCACCCAGCTAGGTAGGGTATAAAAAAAAACAGTACACATTTTTGGAGACTATAGGTGAGGTTTTATATGATCAGAAGTCATCCTCCAAAAAGAATCCATGCATGGTATAATATAATTGTTTAGAAAAAAGTATTTTGAATCCTCTGGTAATTAGAATATGTTTATGGGTTTTTATTGTTTTTCTACAGAGATAGAAACTTAGAGCAGGTTCACAATAGGGAATACCAGTGGCAGTAGGATTAATTTAAAATGAATGGGTGAGTAAATGTTCATATCCCAAGAGGAAAGCTTCCCGTGAAAGGACTGGAGAGGTCCCTGTGAGGACAGAGTACGTAAGAACAGGCCAGAGAACGGCCACTGCCACGTGCAGCAGCTCCCTCTGTGGGGTAAGGAGTGATGCCCTGCTCTGCATTCACATGGCATGAGGTTGGGCTGAGGTTTGTGTACCTGAGGTCTTCAGGGCATTTTATGGAGTTTTGCTTACACATGTTCATCTTGGTATCTCTTGCTCCTTTCCCAGTCACACATACATGTGCCTCATATGAAAGTGGAAGTACTAGATTGACTAGGTAAAGGGGTACAATTACAATGCAGTGCTACACAGAAATTATGAAAAAGAATTCCTTCCAGCTTCAGTTATTCCAAGCTAACTCTGCTTAGCTTCTCTCCCCACGGCAGTAAGGGTTACAGTGCAGAACAGGGAATCAAAGAACTTGTGAGAAAGTCTCAGCTCACTTATTCTTAATATCCTGCCTAGTCCTCTGAAACACACATCATTTCAACTCTACAGCAGAAGAAAAGGGACAAAACTGATGTCTTAAGTGATTTTATTAGAAGCTGAGAAGCCTGGATTCTACTACTGATCTTGCCAAACATTAGTTGAATATGAGATTTGGTTTAACATTTAGCAGTGTTTTTTATTTTAAAAAAAAAGGCAAATTGAATTAACAAATTAAGATCTCATCCAAGTTGGAGATGCTTAGCGTCATCTTCTCCATAAACTCTTAGTTGGGACACACTGAAAACAGAACCTTCACTGGTTATGCGAGGCTGTGGATGGTGAGTACTCTCTCTCCTGCTTGGTTCTTGAAGGAACTTGCACATTGGAGTGAACAGGACAGTGGTTGCTTTGATTTTGGACGTTTTGGATTTCTGTGGCATGCTTCAAGTTCTGTTCTCACCTCTCCAGGATTAGACATAAACAGGATAAGGAAAGGGGCAAGCCTAGGGGGATGAAGTAGAAGATGGAAAACATGGAAAGATAAGTTAGGATGTGGGTACTTCATAATCATGGGGTCAAATACATTTTCCATTGTTGATTGCATTCCTCTCCACTGTTAGCTAGCTGCTGCTTACTTCTTACTGTGTACTTTACTTGGGGACACAGTCAGAGTTGGGTGACTTTCTCTGTTTTGTTCTTGAGATTATAAAACTATTCAGTTGTACTGTTCTGTGAGAACGGTAGCTTGAGGGCAGTTCAAAAATATTTAAGATTTTCTTGGAAGTCCTCACAGGGATGATTTTAGATCATTGTTGTTATGAAACTCTATAGGGTAAACATATTTTAATCTTTTTGGTCATTCTTAGCTGTTATCTTGCTGTCTTCAGTGACAGGATGATGCAAAAAATTATAACTTGGTAAAAAAATGTTATTGTACTTGACAGAAAGGCTGGATAAATTGTTACAGCAATAAATTTTATATCAAATAAAGGTTAGTTGAATCATAGAATTTTATAGGACCTGGTGTGATGGCTCAGTTGGCTAATCCTCCCCCTTGCAAGCACTGGGATCCCACTTCCCTTCCAGCTCCCAGCCTGGGAAAGTAACAGAGCTTGGCCCAAAGCCTTGGGACCCTGTACCTCTGTGGGAGACCCAGAAGATCCTGGCTCTTGGCTTTGGATCAGCTCATCTTCAGCCATTGCAACCATTTGGGGACTCAACCAGTGGATGAAGGATCTTTCTCTCCTCTCTGTAAATCTGCCTTTCCAAGAAAAGTAAAGAAATCTTAAAATAGATATAGACACACACACATACACACATATATAAAACAGGAGATAATTTAAAATCATCTATTTTGCTGATTTCAAATGCCTTTGCTCAAAAGCAAAATATTCCAAACATAATCTTACACTAAGACCCAGTGTATGAGATAGATAAAAGTAATGACTGTGTTTATCAGCTAGCTCAAATCTATATTATATCAGTTGATACACTAATGGCTGTCTAGACAAATATTGGAAATTTGAAAGATTGCTCAGCAAGTCCTAGTTGGGACTTTGTGTGTGTTGTAGAACATTTTGACTCCTATTTCTGTCTCTCCTCTCTAAAGTCACCCAGTTACAGTACAGTGATGGTAGTATACCAATAAGCCAGTTGGATAAAATTGAAAACCCACAAGTAGACTGAGATACATTTTAAAGTAAATAAAAGTGGGAATCTTTTATTTTTTAAAAAATATTTTTATTGGAAATGCGGATCATATTTATTCAAAGAAAGAAGGATCTTCCAACTGTTAGTTCACTCCCCAAGTGGCATCACAGCCAGAGCTGAGCCAATCAGAAACCTGGAGCCAGGAGCTTCCTCTGCATCTCCCTTGTAGGTACAGGGTGATGGGCTGTCTTCTGCTGCCTTCCCAAGCCACAAACAGAGAGCTGAAAGGGAAGTGGAGCCGCTGGGATGCAAACTGGTGGCAATATGGGATCCCGGTTTGTATAAGACAAAGATTTTAGTCATTAAGCCATCGTGCTGGGTCCAGAAATGGGACTCTTAAATCACAATACTAAAGTGGCATCAATACTGCTGGGTCAGTAGGATAGGCATATAAATCTGTCCACTATAGATTGCAGAATTCTTATTTATGTTGTGGAGATTAAACTTAAAATAGTATGTAGTGCATCTTGTTTTTTCCTTCTTGTCTTCCATATAACTCTTCATATGAAATTATTCATGTTGTAAATGAATCTATTGCTTTGAGTTTCTACAAAATATTCAGTGGTATGTTTTTACTTTGCTTTATTTTGTTCATTAATTGCTTGTCAGTATTAGATGTTGCAGATACATTATTCTGACTCTATTGTCCCTCTGTTAACTTTGCTTTTATATACCTTTATTAAATAACGGATGGGCATTTGGGGAAAACAGTTAAAATGCTGCATGGGATGCCCCATTACTGATGCACACTGTGGGCTCTGCAGGTTGTGGCTCAACTGATTGAGTATTGTCCTGTGTGTGAGATTCCCAGTTTGAGCTGCTGGCTCCTGGCCTTGGCCTTTTGAGAAGTAAACCTGTGGCTGGAAAGCTCTCTACATGCCTGCCTTTCAAACCAACCAACTAAATAAAATTTATGTGGTTTAGTACAATGGCTCAATGGGCAAATTCTCACTTTGCAAGCTCTATCCTGACCATACAGCCAGCTGAGTAGTCAGCCAGGAGAAAGGAGAGCTCTCTGTTGGCTTCTTGAATTAAAAAAAAAAAAAAAATTAAATCACCTTTAGGGCCTGTTGCAATAGCTTAGCAGCTGAAGTCCTCACCTTGAGCATGCTGGGATACCATATGGGTGCTGGTTCTAATCCCAGCTGCTCCGCTTCCCATCCAGCTCCCTGCCTGTGGCCTGGAAATGCAGTGGAAGACGGCCCAAAGCCTTGGGTCCCTGCACCTGTGTGGGAGACCTGGAAGAAGCTCCTAGCTCCTGGCTCCGGATTGGCTCAGCTCCAGCTGTTGCAGCCACTTGTGGAATGAATTATTTGATGGAAGATTTTCCTTTTGGTCTCTCCTTCTCTCTGTATATATGCCTTTCCAATCAAAATAAATAAATCATTTTTTAAAAAGTCACCTTTTAGAAAAACAGGATATTTTTTTAAATTATTTTTTTATTGGAAAGGCAGATATACAGAGAGGAGAGACAGAGAGGAAGATCTTCTGTCCGATGATTCACTCCCCAAGTGAGCGCAACGGCCGATGCTATGCCAATCTGAAGCCAGGAGCCTCTTCCGGGTCTCCCACGTAGGTGCAGGTTCCCAAAGCTTTGGGCCGTCCTCGACTGCTTTCCCAGGCCACAGGCAGGGAGCTGGATGGGAAGCAGGGCTGCTGGGGATAGAACCGGCGAGGACCTTAACCACTTGCGCCACCGCGCCGGGCCCGAAAAACAGGATATTTTAAGTTGTGGTATGTATGTGAGTGTGCACAGCGAGCGTGTAATAGTTTTTTGTGTCTTGTATTTTTTATTTGTAGCCATCAAGCAAGATGAAAGCATCTGAGGGGAATTTCTTCAATGTTCCTGCTTTCCTGACTGTGTCTGGACAACTTCATCTGGAAGTGATGTCAGGGTACTGAGCTTTCTATTTTGCTTTTACTGATTTGGGTTTTAATGAAAATGAAGTAGTGCTTCCCTTTCGAACATTCAAACTGAAAATCAAAATTAGTCTTGGTTATGTACTGAAAAACAAGGATCAGTTTTTCAAATATATGTAGATGTCTATACCCCAAATCTTGTGGTAATAAGTATTAGATTATTGTCAGTGGCTTTAGTATTAGGATAGAAACTTGTCTGAAGTGGAGCCTTGGGAAGTAATTATATTGAGTTAGGTTGATCATGACACTCTACAGAAAGAAGCACATGGTCCTGGAGGAAGAAAGTGAGACCGTGTTATTTTGTCTCTTGTTTCTGACATGATGATTGTCCTTTCCCCATGCTCGGGACTCACCACATGTTGAATCAATGGGCTGCCTGATTTGCGACCATGAGCCTACTCATCTGTAAAAGAAAAATAAATGTGTTAACTTCTAGGAATTTCTTCTTGTTTTAGTCAGAATTGGGTAATTTAGTTAAAGTGACTCAGACATTAGTTCACTTAAATATATTAGTTTGTTTGAATTGATAAAATTAATTAAAAATAACCATGTATTTAAGCCCAGCAGGATGGCTCAATTGGCTAATCCTCTCCTTGTAAGCGCCAGGATCCCACAGAGGTGCCTGTTCATGTCCCAGCTACTTCTGTTGCCGGAAGCTCCCTGCTTGTGGCCTGGGAAAACAGTAAAGGACAGCCCAAGGCCTTGGGACCCTGCACCCATGTGGGAGACCTGGAAGAAGCTCCTGCCTCCTGGCTTCAAATTGGCCCTGCTGCGGCTACTACAGCCATTTAGGGATTGAACCAGCAAATGGAACAACTTTCTCTTTAATCTGTGTTTCCAGTTAAAATAAATAAATCATAAAAGACAAAAGAAGTAGAAAAGAGCTACATTTAAAATGTTATGTGAATCTATTGTCTTAACACTTAAAGTGTAAAATTGGTTCTTTTTGCTATTCTTGCTCCAACCTCAAACATTTAATTAAAATGTGTAATTAATCATCTATATGGAAATACAGACAGCTTGTGATTCACACCTGAGCTAATTACTAACCAGTTTCGTTGAAAAAGGAGATGTGCAGACCCAGTGCTGTGGCCTAGCAGCTAAAGTCCTTGCCTTGAATGCATTGGGATCCCATATGGGCACCGGTTCTAATGCCGGCAGCCCTGCTTCCCATCCAGCTCCCTGCTTGTGGCCTGGGAAAGCAGTTAAGGACAGCCCAAAGCCTTGGGATCCTGCACGCATGTGGGAAACCCAGAAGAGCTTCTGGCTCCTGGCTTCGGATTGGCACAGCACCGGCTGTTGTTATCACTTGGGGAGTGAATCATTGAACAAAAGATATTTCTGTCTCTACTCCTCTCTCTTATGTCTTACTTTGCAATAAAAATACATAAATAAATAAATAAAAGAAAGAAGGAAAAAGAAAAAGGAGACATGCCTGAAATAGGTGGAAGAAAACCTTTCTAAAATTAATTGAGTTAGGGCCAGTGCAGTGGCCTAGCAGCTAAAGTCCTCACCTTGAATGTGCTGGGATCCCATATGGGTGTTGGTTCTAATCCTGGCAGCCCTACTTCCCATCCAGCTCCCTGCTTGTAGCCTGGGAGGGCAGTCAAGGACAGCCCAAAGCCTTGGGACCCTGCACCCATATAGGAGACCTGGAAGAAGTTCCTGGCTCCTGGCTTGGGATCAGTGCAGCTCTGGCCATTGCACTGACTTGGGGAGTGAATCATTGGACGAAAGATCTTCCTCTCTGTCTATCTGACTTTGCAATAAAAATAAATAAATCTTTTTAAAAATTGAGTTAAATAAAATTAATTCAGGTCCAGGTAAGTGTACAACAAATTATTAAGTCTTAAGTCAGATCAAATGAATTTTTTAAGGATATGTTTATTTTTATTGGAAATTCAGTTTTCCACAGAGAAGGAGAGACAGAGAGATGGATCGTCTATTCGCTGATTCACCTTCCACAGGCCACAGTGACTGGAACTGAGCTATCCCCAATAGCCAGGAATCAGGGATTTAGCCTATTCCAGACCTCCCACACAGGTTAGGAACCAAGGCTTTAAGCTTAAACATCCTCTGCAGCTTTCCCAAGCCATAAGTAGGAAGCTGAATGGGAAGTGGAACAGCCAAAATATGAGCCAGTCCCCATTTGGCAAGGTGTTGGCAAGGTAAGGATTTACACCGGGCACAGATCAGATGAGTTTTAACCACTATCAGATCACAGAAATCATTGTATTACTTTGGGTCCAATTTCTTTTTCCTTCAAATGGGACTGTACAAAAAGACCCTTAAAGTCCTATCTAAAATTTTTTTAAGATTTGTTTGTAATTTTTTTTTAATTGGTAAGTCAGATTTACAGAGAAGGAGATACAGAGAAAAACTGGTTTACTTCCTCCACTGGTTTACTCCCAAAGTGGCTGCAATGGCCAGAACTGAGCCGATCTGAAGCCAGGAGCTTCTTCCAGGTCTCCAGAGCGAGTCTAGGGTCCAAAGGTTTGAAGCAGTCTTTTACTGCTTTCCCAGGCCATTAGCAAGGAGCTGGAAGGAAAGTGGAGCAGCCGGGATGTAATTTGATGTCTATATGGGGTATCAACACCCATATGTGATCCCAACACTTGCAAGGCGAAGACTTTACTAGGCTACTGTGCCAGTTGTCTGTCTAAATTTTATGTTCTGTGATTTTGAAGGTAGTTTCTTAATGCTCATTCAATGTGGTTTGAATTTTCCCTACAGATCCTTTTTTTTTCCCCTTCATATAAAGGTCAGGATTTGAAATTTTAAAATTTCTTCAGGAGATAATTCGAATGAAAAGAAAGGAATCTTTATGTGTTTCCCATTGTTTTTAGGATGCCGTGTTGGGAAAGTTGGGAGATGTGATAGAATGGTTTGCATGTTTATTTTTGTACCTGTCTTGCTGGCAGGATGGAAAGCCAGCAGTGGAATGAAGATGATCTTGAAAGTAGCATGTATTTAGATTCTTTTCCAGTTTATCCTTGAGACAGAAAGGTATTATTTGATGGTTCCAAACAGTTGACAATCTGCCAGATCACTTTCCAGCACTGTCTTGTTTACAGCATTGTGAGGAGTAGAATCTGTAAGGCTGAGCATGGGAAAGGCCATGTCAGACACACTGTGGAGAAGTCCTTAGTGCTTTTCAAAGTATAATTTTAGGAAATGTAAAATGTGACTCATAAGCATATAAAGTGAACATATCTCAAAGGTTTTACCAATTCGTTAGTTACTATGGGAACAAATGAAGTTGTAAGGCTGTTTATTTTAAAGAGCATCTGAGGAGCTCTGGATTAATTGAAAATAATTGATACAATAAGATCGCTGTGTTTGTTATAAACTGGCTAATATCCTACTGACCAGTAAGCTCTGAACTTTGTGATTATCTCTTCTAACAGAAATTCCTAGCAACTCTGTTGGACAAAAATGTACAAGTTAACACAAAACGTCACCTTAATGTGAGATTTTTAATTCAATAGTGAAAAGAATAATTAAGCACATGCTGCTAGGTAATTAAATAATCTTTGAATGGGTCTATGTCTCCATAATGCGTTAAAGGACATCACTGTTTTAAGGCTCTTTGTGCTTTGGACTTGTAGTCAAGATTTGAATGTTATTAATGGATTTCGTCATCTATAAAATTAGAAGGAGTCTGTGTTGGCAAGGTCATGGTGTGTGAAAGGTGTAAATTTACTGTATTCTTATAATACAGCTAATGTATTAAATATGCCTCTTTCTCAGTGAGCCAGGGAGCACAGTTACAGTGAAACTTCACATAAGATTCAATTGGTGGAATATCAGTGTATTTTAAAATGTGTTATAAAATGTTTCTAATATCTGTCAAATGTTCCTAGTTTAAAATGCATAGCTTTGCAACTACTAATATACAGTACACCATGTTTCTGATTAATACATAATTTACCCAATTAGAAATGAGTCCTCTTTTTCTTTCTTTTGACTTTCTTTTTTCTGTAATTGTGTTTAACAAACTTTTAAAAAAGAGCAAATGGTAGTTAAATTTGGAAAGTTAACATTTTTCAAAAGGATATCTTTGTTAGTGAGTTTATAGCTTCCTTTTGTAAGTTTTTTTGTTGGTTTGGTTTGGTTTGGTTTTGGTTTTTGAAATAAATATTTTAAATACTTAACTTTGGGATAAAATTGCCAAGGTGATGTCGTCTTCAAGACCCCGCTCAGTTCCTCCAGTGTTGACATCTTCCTTTACTGTAGTACATTTGCCAACTTGAGAATCTGCTGTTAGTATATCAATACTAATGGAACTTCAGAGCTTATTTAGACTTAATCAGTTTTTCTGTTACTATCTTTTTCCCAAGCTCTGATTCAGAGTACCACACAAAGCTTCTTGACATGGTTCCCAAGTTTGTTCCAATCTGTAGTAGAGTCTCCATCCTCAGTCTTTCTCTTTTGTGACCTGTGAGTGTACCCCCAGATGAGGTTTTCTGATAAGTAGAGTGGGTTTAACTAGGGTATCAGGGATAAAAAAAAAATCCACAAGAGGCAGAGTGCTTTTCCCATCACATCCTATGTAAGAGTAAGATGTGAAGATGTTAGCACTGTTAGTTAGATAGCTATTGTTTCATTACTTAGATAAGGTAGTGTTTTTCAAGTTTCTTAACAGATAATGTGTTCTTTTTCTCTTTTCTTACTCTGTTCTTTGAAAATGAGTGACTAAACTTAGTCTTCCCTCACTGGAATTGTGTTTTTGCTGAGTGAGAGATGGAATTCAGCACTAATCCCTCAAGAGTTATATTTAAAGTTTTGCATGGAAGATTGGCTGTTTCTTCACTTCTCATGTATTTCATGAACTAGTTAATGAGTTATATGAAAAAGAACTCATTCTTTTTATAGTGGGGTTGTCGAGGCAGATTTACAGAGAGAAGAAGAGAAAGATCTTCCATTTGCTGATGGAAGGCCAGAGCTGAGCTAATCTAAATCCAAGAAGTGAAAC